TTTCCATGTTACGGTTATTAAGTAATTGTGTGCAATAACACAATATGTTTTATAAATAATAAATATTTTGTCAATACCCACTGACAATGATCACAATAAAGTTTTGTTTTGTTGTGTATTTCATCATTAAAAATGTGTGTTGTGATAATATATTTATTTCCTCAAAGTGTCAATAAAAATGTCTGAAAACATTTTTTTTAAATGTGCGTATGGGATTTAATTTCACACCAAACGGTAAAACAGGATTCTCTATTATAACAAGTGGAGGGAAAATGGTATTTTTAATGGATTTTCTTTTTTTTTTAAATCACCCTTTTGCTCATTTGTGCGCACACTCCCAAACGGATCAGCGTTTTTTAAACTCCCTCCTTTAATTTAAGGGATCAGAGGCTGAAATTCCTCCCAGGATTGTGAGAACTGAGCAGAACGTTATCGATTCGGCCTCGTTCAGCAAAGCGAGGAATTCCCTTTAGCCGCAAACGACTTTATCAGAGCAGTAAAACGGGCTGAGAGCAAAACTATAAAGCCTTCAAATAACCTAAACTGTTGAGTTACATAATAAGAATGAATATTCTGCTTGTTTTTGTTGTTTCTTTAGCATATTAGCTCTGATTTACTCTGTTTTTTTGCCAAAAACTGTTGAGTTAGATAATGAAAATGAATATTCTGCTTGTTTTTGTTGTTTCTTTAGCATATTAGCTCTGATTTAGTTAGCTTTTTTGCCAAAAACTGTTGAGTTAGATGATGAAAATGAATATTCTGCTCGTTTTTGTTGTTTCTTTGACATATTAGCTCTGATTTAGTTAGCTTTTTTGCCCAAAACTGTCGAGTTCCATGATAAAAATAAAGATTATACTTGTTTTGTTTACTTACATGTTTAAAATAAAGAATTAGCCAATTTCTTCCAAATATTTGTTCTGCTTTACTTTGTTTTTAGGCCAAAAACTGTTGAGTTACATAATGAAAATGAATATTCTGCTTGTTTTTGTTGTTTCTTTCACATATTAGCTCTGATTTACTCTGTTTTTATGCCCAAAACTGTTGAGTTACCTGATAAAAATAAAGATTCTGCTTGTTTTTTTAGCTTATATGTTTAAAATAAATAATTAGCCCATTTCTTTCAAATATTTATTCGTCTTTACTTTGTTTTTATGCCAAAAACTGTTGAGTTACATAATGAAAATGAATATTCTGCTTGTTTTTGTTGTTTCTTTCACATATTAGCTCTGATTTACTCTGTTTTTATGCCCAAAACTGTTGAGTTCCATGAGAAAAATAAAGATTATGCTGGTTTTTTTTTACTTACATGTTTGAAATAAAGAAATAACTCATTTTTTCCAAATATTAACTATGCTTTACTCTGTTTATGCGCCCAAAACTGTTGAATTAAATAATAAAATAAAAATAAAGATTCTGCTTGGTTATGTTGCTTCTTTCACATATTAGCTCTGATTTTGTCATTTTATGAGCATTTCATTTCTTTTTCTCATCTTCTGCTCAACATTTAGATCATTTTTGATAAATTCCTCATGTTTTGTGTCTGTTTGTGATCAATTTGACATGTTTTTTGGTCTTTTGGTCAACATTTCTATAGTATTCGGGTAATTATTGGAGTTTTGTGTCCGTAACTGATCATTTAGATGCAGTTTGGCATCTTCTTTAGTGATTTTATGAGGATTTTGTTTCTTTTTCTAATTTTTTGCTCAACATTTAGATAATTTTTTATAAATTCTTCATGTTTTGTGTTGAATTTGTCACTTTTTCTGGTGTTTTAACTAACATTTTCTTTCATTTTGGTTAATTATTGGAGTTTTGCATCCATTTCTTGTCTTCATTTGAACTGTTTAGCAGCTTTGTTGTGGACTAACAGTTTTCCTGGAGGACTTTAAGCCCAACAGGAGCTTTTATTTGGAGCGTTTCTGCTCTCTGAACACTGAGTCTGCAGCTCTGAAGCGGTGACATCATTCAATCTGTCACAAGACAGATTGTGCTCCCCAAAAACAGACGTTTACTCCGACAGAGCCAAACTGGTGGGCAGATAAAGAGTAAAAAATGAGCCCAGGATGGATAAAAAACGATGACTCCCCCCTGTTCTCAAACCAGCCGACGTCCAATCACAGGCCTCGTTTTTCTGCATTAAAACCCATCAAACATCCCGAATACCGGACTCCTTTTTCCATTTCAGAACAGAAGAACCTCTATTTACGATACATAAACTAAGAATTTTCCAACATACGAAGTGAAATTTGATCAAACATACGACAGTCATAGAAAAATATATACATATAAAAAAAAGTAAGTTAAGTTAGTTTTACGATAACGTAATATAAGTTAGATTACAAAAAATCTGAAAAATTCAAAAAGAATATAAAATATAAAATAAATAAGATAAGTTAGTTTACAATAACGTAATGTAAATTAGATAAAAAATATAAAAAATATAAAAAATATAAAAAATATCAAATAAATAAGATAAGTTAGTTTTACGATAACGTAATGTAAGTTCCATTTAAAAAATCAGAAAAATAGAAAAAATAAAATAAAATAAATAAGATAAGTTAGTTTTACGATAAAGTAATGTAAGTTAGATTTAAAAAAATCTGAAAAATATAAAAAATATATAAAATATCAAATAAATCAGCTAAGTTAGTTTTAAGTTTACATAATGTAAGTTAGATTTTAAAAAAATTTGCCAAAAAATAAAATAAAATATAAAAACTAAATGAAAATAAATAAGCTAAGTCAGTTTAAAGTTCCTGTATAAAGTCAGAGTGAGTTAGGGTTGGTCCTGTATCTCCGTTCTTCAGTCTCTGAGCTAAAGGGGCAATAAAAACCCTTTTTATTGATTATTTCTTTATCATTTATTTCTTTTTCCATCTCTCTTCTAGAAATCATTTGTTTTCTTGCTATGTGTAATTATCTGCAATATTTATTAAGGAGTTATCGTAGGTTTTTGGAACCAATTCTAGGAATTACAGCGTATTCTGATGGAATATTTTAACCAACATACCAACATTTTAACAAACGAAGTCGCTCCTGGAACCAGTTAAATTCCTTATAGAGGTTCTGCTTCTATCTGGACAGAAAATGGCTCTGAATGGCCGTTCCTGGCCCTCATTAGCTGTGATGCGTTGGGATTTAATGGAGTCCTGAAGTCGTTAGTGGAACTTAATTAGCTGCGAGGCGCCCGAGGCCGTTTCATTCATTTGTGTCACTTTTTTGGTCTTTGGGACAACATTTTCTATCATTTCTTGGTAATTATTGGAGTTTTGTGTCCACAAACAATCATTTAGCTGTACTTTTTTAGCATTTTTAGCTTCAGGTGGGAGCAGCCTGAAACGGGGCCACAGGCTGACCTTTGACCTCTGACCCCTCACCCTGTTTCTTCATAAATTTTTTCTATAATTTTCCATGTTTTGTGTCTGTTTGGATCAATTTAAAGCTTTTTTCTGGTGTTTGGGTGAACATTTTATGTCATTTTTGGCTTAATATATATATTTTTTAGCAGTTTTAGCTACATGCCGACCTTTGACCTCTGACCGCTCACCCTGTTTCTTCATTATTTTGTGTCTGTTTTTGGATCAATTTGACTATCAAATTACATTTTTGGGTGTTTGGGTCAACATTTTCTATAATTTTTGGGTAATTATTCGATTTTTGTGTCCGTAACCGATCACTTAGGTTCTTTTTTTTTTTTTTTTTAACAATTTTTGCTACAGGCTGACCTTTGACCTCTGACCGCTATTATTGTTCTTTCATTATTTTGTGTCAGTTTTTGGATCAATTTGACTATCAAATTACATTTTTGGGTGTTTCGGTCAACATTTTCTATAATTTTTGGCTAGTTATTGGAGTTTTGTGTCTACAAACAATCATTTAGCTTCTCGTTTTTTGTTTTAGCAGCTTTAGCCACAGGCTGACCTTTGACCTCGGACTCCTCACCCTGTTTTTTCATGTTTTGTGTCCGTTTTGGTTCAATTTGACCCTCTTTCTGGTCTTTTGGTCAACATTTCTATAATTTCTGGGTAATTATTGGAGTTTTGTGTCCACAAATAATCATTTAGCTTAACTTTTTTAGCAGTTTTAGCTACAGGCTGACCTTTGACCTCTGACTCCTTACCCTATTTTTCCATGTTTTTTGTCTCTTTTGGTTCAATTTGACCCTTTTTTTTATTGTTTTGGTCAACATTTTCAAGCATTTCTGGCTAATTGTTTGAGTTTTGTGTCCAGAAACAATCATTTAGCTTTTATTTCTTTTTTTTTTTTAGCATTTTTAGCCTCAGGCTGACCTTTGACCCCTGACATGTTTTGTGTCAGTTTTGGATTAATTTGACCCTTTTTCTAGTCTTTTGATCAACATTTTCTATCATTTTTGGCTAGTTATTAGAGTTTTGTGCCCACAAACAATCATTTAGCTTAACTTTTTTAGCGCTTTTAGCTACAGGCTGACCTTTGACCCCTGACCCCTCACACTTTTATTTCATTAATTTGTGTCTGTTTTGGATTAATTTGACCCTCTTTCTGGTCTTTTGGTCAACATTTTCTATCATTTTTGGCTAATTATTTGAGTTTTTTGTGTCCACAAACAATCATTTAGCTTTTATTTCTTTTTTTTTAGCAATTTTAGCTACAAGCTGACCTTTGACCTCTGACTCCTCACTTAGTTTTTTCATGTTTTGTGTCTGTTATGGTTCAATTTTCCCCATTTTCTAGTGTTTTGATCAACATTTTCTGTCAGTTCTGGCTAATTATTTGAGTTTTTTGTCCAAAATCCATCATTTAGCTTAACTTTTTTAGCATTTTTAGCCTCAGGAGAAGGCCTACCTTGTCCCACTGCTTCTCCCTGTCCAGCGTGATGATGATCATGGCCGGGTTCACCAGGTACCCGTGGCTGTTGAAGGAGAAGTCGTGGTGCTCCCAGGTGACGTTCAGCATGTGTCTGAGGACAAAAAGCAAAAAAACGGGGTTCAGAAAGTCGCTCCAGGGCTCCGGGTTTGGAGGTTTTGGGTCCAGACGAGTTCGGGCGTCCACATTTCTGCCTGTTGGGAAGCTGAAGGCGTTAAAAACAAAAAAATTCTGCTTGTTTTTGTTATTTCTTATACATATTAGCGCTGAATTATTTTGTTTTATGCCCAAAACTGTTGAGTTACATAATAATAGTGAATATTCTGCTTGTTTTTGTTGTTTCTTTCACATATTAGCTGTGATTTACTCTGCTTTTATGCCCAAAAATGTTGAGTTTCATAATAATAATGAATATTCTCCTTGTTTTTGTTATTTCTTTCACATATTAGCTCTGAATTCATTTGTTTTTATACCCAAAACTGTCAAGCTGCATGATAAAAATAAAGATTCTGCTTGTTTTTTTTTTAACTTACATGTTTAAAATAAAGAATACATTTTTTTTCCAAATATTAGCTCTGCTTTACTTTGTTTTTATTCCCAAACTGTTGACTTACATGCTTAAAATAAGGAATAAGCTAATTTCTTCCACATATTAGTTCTACTTTACTCCGTTACATGTTAAAAATTAATATTTTGTTGTAATTTCTTCCACATTTTACTCTGATTGACTCAGCTAATTCCATTTAAAGCTAAATACTCTGAACAGATGCTTTCAATTGATGCTTTTAAGCCTGATTTACATCCAAACTGTTGAGTCATGTTAGAAAATTACGTTTTTTTCTCGTTTTCCTTCATTCTAACTCTTAAATGACCATTTTCTAACGTGATTTCTGATTGTTTACTGCACATATTTGGTTCCTGTTTGCAGGCCCAGTCATAATTAACCGGACTTTTAGCCTTTTCTGTGACTCATCCTGATGGGGGGGGTGTGAACAGCCACTTTAATCCGGCCGTCGGCCATAATCTCATTAACAGGTGAACATTAGCACAGAGGCAAATCCTCTCCGACCTCCTGCCCGTTTTCACACCCACAACCTTTTAGTACGGATAGCAAAATAGATTTTCCTTGTTTTTGCTGTTTCTTCAAAGTATTAGTGATGATTTACTCTGTTTTTGTGCCCAAAACTGTTGAGTTGCATGTTCAAATTAGAGAATTACCTAATTTCTTCCACATATTAGCTCTGATTTACTCTGTTTTTGTGCCGAAAACTGTTGAGTTTCATGATAAAAATAATATTCTGCTTGTTTTTGTCATTTCTCTCACATATTGGTTTTGATTTACTCTGTTTTTATGCCGAAAACCGCTGAGTTACACAATAAAAATAAAGAATTAGCTAATTTCTTCCACATATTAGCTCAGATTTACTGTTTTAATGCCCCAAACTGTTGAGTTTCATGATTAAAATTAATATTCTGCTTGTTTCTGTTATTTCTTCCACATATTGGCCCTGATTTACTCAGTTTTTATGCTGAAAACCGTTGAGTTACACAATAAAAATAAAAAATTAGCTAAATCTTTCCACATATTGGCTTTGATTTACTCCGTTTTTATGCTGAAAACCGTTGAGTTAGACAATAAAAAAAAAGAATTAGCTAATTTCTTCCACATATTAGCTCTGATTTCCTCAGTTTTTATGCCCAAAACTATTGAGTGTCATGATAAAAATGAATATTCTGCTTGTTTCTGTTATTTCTCTCACATATTAGCTCAGATTTACTCTGTTTTTGTGCCGAAAACTGTTGAGTTTCATGATAAAAAATAATATTCTGCTTGTTTTTGTCATTTCTCTCACATATTGGCTTTGATTTACTCTGTTTTTATGCCGAAAACCGCTGAGTTACACAATAAAAATAAAGAATTAGCTAATTTCTTCCACATATTAGCTCAGATTTACTGTTTTCATGCCCCAAATTGTTGAATTTCATCATGAAACTTAACAATCTGTTTGTTTTTGTCATTTCTCTCACATATTGGCTCTGTTTTCCTCAGTTTTTATGCCCAAAACTATTGAGATACACAATAAAAATAAAGAATGAGCTAATTTCTTCCACATACTAGCTCGGATTTACTGTTGTTATGCCCCAAACTGTTGAATTTCATGATGAAAATGAATATTTTGCTTGTTTCTGTTATTTCTCTCACATATTGGCTCTTTTTTCCTCAGTTTTTATGCCCAAACTGTTGAGTTACATAATAAAGATAAAGAATTAGCTCATTTGTTCCACATATTAGCTTCAATTCACTCTGTTTTTATGCCCAAAACTGTTGAGTTACACAATAAAAATAAAGAATTAGCTAATTTCTTCCACATATTAGCTCAGATTTACCGTTTTAATGCCCCAAACTGTTGAGTTACATAAATAAAAATGAATATCCTGCTTGTTTTTGTCATTTCTCCCCCATATTAGCTCAGATTTACTCTGTTTTTATTCCCAAAACTGTTGAGTTTCATGATAAAAATGAATATTCTGCTTGTTTTTGTCATTTCTCTCACATATTAGCTCAGATT